GACGGGGTTTCACCATGTTGACCAGGATGGTCTCGATCTCTTGACCTCGTGATCCACCCGCCTCAGCCTCCCAAAGTGCTGGGATTACAGGCTTGAGCCACCGCGCCTGGCTATCTCAGGCCCTTGACTAGGCACTGGGGCCCTAGAGTAAGTAGGTCACTGACTGTGCTTGAGGAACTTACACTTGAAATCTTGCTAGCTGTGGTCAAGAAGATGATTCAGTCCATATTGTGAAGGCCAACTGGTAGCCATATAACTGTCACACAGGGACAGATGTAGCTAGGAGAGTGGATGAAATTGCTCAGGGAGAAAGTCATGCTAGAAGAGCAAAGAATATACTTTTGGAGAATACCCATTCTTTCATGTTTGGTTTATGTCAGTGGGGAATCCTGGTTAAGCACAGGGCTTGGCAGCAAATCAGACTAAGCTGGGTTTAAGTTTTATATCAATTATGCCTCCTTGGGCAAGTCGCTTCAACTCTCAAAGTCCAAATTTACTTTTTATAAAATGGTGAGCCTAGCGGAATCTATCACATGGGACTGTGGGGACTTAGAAAAATACATGTAGAGTGTTTTGCATAGCGCCTAGAAGACAGCAAGGGCATGGTTAAGTGGTAACTGTTATTGCTTTTTAGGCACATGTTGGCAATAATTAGTTTGTCCAGTAGGAAATTAAACTCCAGAGTGAGTCTGGTTTAGTCCAGTGCTTGCACTGGCCCGAGCTCTGCTCTTGGTACATTGCTTTCAAAACGTGGTAGCTGTCACTTTCATAATTTTTTCATGTGTTCCATGGGTATTGCACACATTAAAAACTGCATTCTTATGCAAAGCCTGGCACTACTTTTCTGCCAGGATAATGGTCTCATGCGATTTTTGGTCTGGGGTGTGACAGGGTCCAAGCTGTCAGGCTTTTACAGCCACGTGGGCGCACCGTGGGAGCAGAGAGGCCTGCCCTGCTCCAACCGCTAGGGGGCGGTGCTCCCTGCCGCGGCCGCGGAGAGCTGCACCGCCCACTCGCCACCCCGCGACGTGGGTCCGAATGGTTAGGTCCGCCGGGCAGGTAGCGCGCTTCCGCGGCTTCCCTCCACCCCTCTCCCTTCCCCCATTGGTAGGGGCTGCGGGTCCGGGCGGAAGTGGGGCAGGCGGGTGGGAGCGAGGCGTCATCGTTGTATATTCATGAGGCGCGCGCAGCCCGGCATGCTAATGAGGCGGGGCGCGGCGGCTGGCTAAAGAGTGGCTGGGCGGCGTCGGCGGGCGCTGAGCTGCCGGGCGGGAGCGGCGTAGGCGCGGGGTCACCGGCCAGCGTGAACCGGGACATGGAGCCACCCGGCGGGGGCCTGGGGCCCGGCCGTGGTACCCGGGACAAGAAGAAGGGCCGGAGCCCAGATGAGCTACCTTCGGCGGGCGGCGACGGCGGCAAATCTAAGAAATTTGTGAGTGTCCCTCCCACCTCGCTCCTGCCCAGCCCCGTAACCGCCTTCTGGACCCCTGCAGCCGGCCCCAGGGGCGATTGCCCCGCTCTGGGGAGCCGCCCCCGCGCCTCCCTTCCTCGTTTCGCTGGTCTGCGGCTCTGCAGCCCGACATCCTCCGCCTCCTGGACAGCGGGAAGCCCCGGAGGCTCACCCTGCTCCTGCCCTGGCCACCTCGGGGCTTCCCTAGTTCCCCAGCCCGCACGTCTGCTCTCCCGCCCCCATAGCCCCGGCCGGCCCTCAGCTTCATCTCTCCCCTCTCAGCCTCACTTCCTTTCTTCTTCCTCTAGTACCCGAACACGCCTCCTCTTTTTTGGTCCCCTCTTCTGGGTCCATTTTCTCTTCTTACTCTCACCCCTTTTTTGGTAGTCTCGTATTTCCTTCTCCTAAAGGTCACTTCCTTCCCCATGATTGATCCTTTTTACCTGCTAACTTTCGTCCCGCCCAGTCCCCCTGGGCCCTCAGCCCGGTGTCACCTGATAATCCTTCCCCTCAGGAATGTTACCTGACTTGAGCCCTACCCCCCCTCCTCCTTTGGACGTTTGTACTTGTGATTACAGGAATGGGTTCCTGCCTAGGTCTTACAGCCACTGGGGCATGACGTTTATTTGCTTAACAGTATTCCTCTATCCAGAGAACCTGTCTCTTTGCCCTGTTGCTTGTCACTTTTCAGAGGGTTAGAACGCTAAGCCCTTCTTGACCTAGTATGGTAATAAATCTCTCCTGTGGGAAGAAAGTTGGACTGCGAGTTCAAGAAGTTTGTAATTGAATTGCTTTTTATGCATTTCCCATGATAACCATCTCCTCAACTCCTTTTCTACTACCTCTCGTTCCCCAAGGCGACTACTGGTATCCCTTTGCATACCTCTAGAAGAGTAAGCTTTCCTCTAGTGCCAGTTACTTTCAATCCGGGTCTGAAGGAATATTGATATTCACGGAACTCTATCATATTTCCTTACCTTTTGCCCACATCAGTGCCTCTCTCCAGGGAGCCGTTTGGTTGCTTTTTGCTGTAAAAGCTTTGAAAGATATGGGGCACTGTCCAGAAGAGGAAAAGTCTTGGATATTGATGATCGTTATAATAGCTAGTTATAGCTGTAGCTCTTTTGTCTCTTCCTCCAGGTATTTATGCCCTTACCCTAGTGTATCTTTCCACTAAACAAATGGCTTGTAACTGGTACCTCTTTCTGTTCGTCCTACCTCCCAACATTTTGACCCAGCTCCACAAATTTGGGAAGAAAACTGATAAAGTGATAGAAACTGGAAGAAAATGTTGTTTCATGACCTAGAGGGTTGAGATGTTAACCCTGGTGGGTTAGGTGTTTAATTCTAAACAGAATTAAAATAGTGACTCATCTCTTCCGATTTCTAACAAGACCAAGTGCTCCTGGACTGCCCCCAGTGACATCTGAGCTGTCAGTAACCACCTGTTTTTATATGATGAACACCTTTTTCCCCCCCTAGAAATAATAAGGTTAAGAGTATTGACATCCCTTCCTTCTTTGGTGACTAACATAGCATTGACCCCCCACCCCCACCCCTCGGTTAGCTTTCCTTCCAAAACTTAAGTTCTAGGGCTTATATTCCTTCTATTTCTATATCTTTTTGTTTTGATTTTGTTTCCGTGGGTACTGTTTGACCTTCCTCACCCGAATTCCAGCTATTGCTACTGATTTGTGGTGACCTCTGTGACTTGTTTTCCAGTCTTGAGTAGACTTTTCTATGTGTTTTATTTTATCTAACAGTTGTTTATTTCACAAATTGTGAAATCTCCTATGTGTGTGGTTCTGCAAGGTGAGAAGCCTGAGGAAGCTAAGCCTCTTTCACCTGTCTTTTGGAATGTCCATGGAGTCTTCTGTATGCTTAGGGATTTGGCTCAGGGTTGTTGGTTTTGCTTTAGAGAGGGTGGAGCTGAACCAAGTTCTCTTTTCTTTCTGCGTTTTTAGTCTTAACCCTTAATCTGCTGAATTTTTAAAACTAGATAGCTCAGCTAATGAAAATTACATTAGTAGCTAGGAATTAGAAGGTTTCTAGGAAAGTAGTGCTGCTTAACCCTTGTATTGCCAAATGTAACTATCTCAAGGCATCAGAATATTCTGTCTTACTCATTGCTCTTTTTATGAGAACTCTGTGGAAATGAAAGAGAAGGAGGAGCATTGCAATCCACTTCTCTTTATGTCTGTGTATGTATATGTGGGTGGGTGGAGTGGGTGAGATTGCTGGTGTGCTTTTGATACCAGTGGCTTAGTTTTCTTGAACTGTACGCTAAAACTGAACTCAAAGCTTTTTCGCCTACTCCACCTTTTCTAAAGTGTGTCCTCTGGAACTCCATTAAGAATGTACTTTATAAAACTGCACTGGTTTGGACTAAGTGTGCCCTAAGGTTGTTTGCATTTGAGGGGTTATAATTCCTTTAGCTGCTATGTACCTTTCCTGGCTTACGCACGTTCTAAATATGGATTAACTGATGAGAACATAGAGCTCACAAATTGTCTAAGATCTGCTCTTACCCTCTGAGGCATCTTGTGTGGAAAGGAGATGGAGACTCAGTTTAAAAGTAGTTGGGCATCATCTTTTTTTTTTTTGTTTTTGAGATGAATTCTCGTTCTGTTGCCCAGGCTGGAGTGCAGTGGCAGGATCTCGGCTCACTGCAACCTCTGCCTCCCAGGTTCAAGCAATTATCCTGTCTCAGCCTCTCGAGCAGCTGGGACTACAGGTGCCTGGCACCATGCCCGGCTAATACTTGTATTTTTAATACAGACAAGGTTTCACCATATTGGTCAGGCTGGTCTCAAACTCCTGACCTCAGGTGATTCCCCCCACCTCAGCTACCAAAGTGCTGGTGTGAGCCACCACACCTGGTGGGCATCATCTTTTAAAAACACATGATTGTTAGAGATGCTGACAGTGAGTGGCTGAAGGCAGGGCGCCTGGTATATTACCTCTTGGTTCTTCATGAGTCTGTCTTCTCCCAGACCATGCACATACCCCCTCTCCAGCATTATTCCTGTTCCTTTCAGAAGTCCTTAAGATGAACAGAGGGTTTTGACTTTTCAGCAGTGATAAATGTGGGTGTCAAATAGATTTCTGAAATATATGTAAGGAGAGTAAGTAGAACCGGGATGTTAGGAGGCTGGAGAGTATTCCTGCATTCAATAGACTTTACGTGCATTCTCATATAATTGAGAAATTGATGCATTCTAAGAGAGAATATTACTTCCTGATTTAGCTAGGAGCATAACTTTGTAAAACATGAATTTTGATGTGGGAATAGAGAGAATCTTTTTTTTTTTTTTTTTTTTTTTTTTTTTTTGAGAGGGAGTCTCTCTCTGTCCCAGGCTGGAGTGCAGTGGCACGATCTCTGGTCACTGCAACTTCTGTCTCCTGGGTTCGTGATTCTCCTGCCTCAGCCTCCTGAGTAGTTGGGATTATAGGCACATGCCACCAAGCCTGACTGATTTTTGTATTTTAAGTAGAGACAGGGTTTTACCATGTTGACCAGGCTGGTCTCGAACTCCTGACCTCATGATCCGCTGGCCTGGGCCTCCCAAAGTGCTGGGATTATAGGCGAGAGCCACCACGCCCGGCCAAGAGAATAGTTTTAAAAATTTTGTTTAATTTTGGATGCCTATATTGAATTATTGTCATGTTGCAGTTACACACTCTTCTAAACACAAAGTAATAGAGTGTCAATGTTTCGTTTTATACCCCTATCCAAAAGGAGAGCAAGTAAAGGTAAAGGATGCCAGGTGGAATTTT